AGGCCCAGTCCCCATCCAAGCAGGCTTGAAGATTTCAGTCATGGGTTCCTGCTTACCTTTATGGCACAGGCCCTAACTGTGTCTTTTGATTTCTTTTGAGATTTATGGGTCTCTGAAATAAGGCCAATAAATGAGCTTATATAGCTGAGCGGAGGTGGTTTGTGGGTGTGGCTCCCACATACCTAACTTTTGGCTGTTTAATTTCTTGGTAAACTTGGCCCCAAGTTGTTGGGGTTTGACCAAAAGCACAGCAGCAATTTTGGGTTATCTGGAAGTCTGGAGGCACAATCAGTCTGCTGATGCACTTGTCCCACAGGTACAGGTTGACTTGCTGGTGGCACCATACCCTCTTCCCCCCCTTTTTTATAAGTAAAAAGAATGGAGTGAAACAAACAAGACTATTTCCCTCCATTTCTCTCTATTCCTTCTGGGATTCTCTACATGTTAGGCTGTGCTTGATTGTAAGCAAAAGGAAATCAAGGCAAGGCAAATTAAAATGGCTTTAAACCACAGTACTGTTTTTTGTTTTCTTAAAATCTGACTGTAGATTTTTAGTGCAAATACAGGGTCAGACTTGCTGATTCTTTTTCTTCTCTCATTTTGTATTCCTTGGTGTGTGGTTATGTCTTCCAATGTGGGAAGTTGTTTTCAAAAGTTCCAAGCTCACACCCTAATAGGGCATTTTGTATATGTGCAACAAAGAAGAAAAATAATTTTTTCCCCTCTGGCTTTTTCTTTTACGTAAAGGGTATGAAATCTTAGCTAGACATTGTCTCCAGCAGAAGCTAGATAGGAATAATTCAACATGACTCAGTCATGTGAAAACAGAATGATCATGATTAACTTAGGCCAGTTGTATTAACTTTTGGGTTTGGGAGGGGCAGGTCACATATCCTTCTGAATGAAATCAGGGTTCTATTAGCAAGAAAGAAGGGGGGATGGTGATTTTATGGGCAACCAATACGTTCATCATATGTTATGCTTGTCTTCTCTCAAGCTGATGTTACTTTTTGGGTTCTATCTACCATAAACCTGCTGTTTCCAAATCTGTATCTAGGTAAAGCTTCTCCTTCATTCTAGTCACATAGTCATCTATCTATTATTATTGAGTATCCTGCCAATTGCTCAAAACACATATCTAAAATGGTACTTCTCATACTTCTTCCGGGAACTGAGATAAATTTCTAAAACATTCTATAAAACAGACTGACACACAACCATTTACTTGCTTTCCAAGTATGAAACTGAGTCATCTCAGATTACTCCTCCCCCATTATATTCCACATCTAGTTATAAGTTCCTTGGATTTAAAATTTTTCCAATACAATATATCTTATTTTAGCACCGTAGCACTGTCATCCCATTGTTCATCGATTTACTAGAGTGGCACCAGTAACATCTCCATTGTGAAACATGTTGTTACTGTTTTTGGCATATTGAATACATCACGGGGAGCTTGCCAGGCTCTTTCATGCAGGCGGGATACTTTTGGTAGCTTGCCGGGCTCTCTGTGAGGGACGGAGGAATCGAACCCAGGTGGGCCGTGTGCAAGACAAATTCCCTACCTGCTGTGCTATTGCTCCAGCCGATCTTATTTTAATGGCTTAAATTTCATTTAAATTCTTAATGTAGCTTTGTATGTGTGACTTTGTAAGGACTTATAAATATAATACCGTGCATCTATAATGTGAGCTTTAAATGAATCTGGGAATATTATTCTGAATGCTACATACTAATAATGGCAAGCTAACATAGGGAAGAGAAAAATCACAAAATCTTGATCTGACTGTAGAACCAATCATTTTTGATTTTACAGAAACAACAAATGTAGTTATTTATGTGAACTTTAATCATTTGCCCTTAATTAAAATGATCATCAACAATTATGTATCAGAATTACCTTCTAAGACAATGAATTATGATCACTGCATCCAAGAGAAGTGTCCTATCAGCTGTACTATTGCTCCAGTCCCCAAAAAAGAAAATCACAATTGTTCCTTAGTTTCTAAAGTAAAGTTTATCCCATGTTAATTAGTAGGAGCTGATAGTAGATGAAATTGAGTGACTCAAGAGTGCCAAAGGAAGTTTAAAGGCAGAGGAGTGAAAGAATAGCCAATGATTAACTCAAACAAAATGGTCAATATTTATTATTAGATTTACAGGGATTTCAGGTACTAGAATACAGAGCTTCATGGTAATGGTAAAACATAACTTATATCAGAGTGATTTGGTGTAACTAAATAAACTATCCCAGCCTAGAAATATTGTTGAGGATGTTCTGTCACACTCAGTAATGGCAAGAAAGTAAAATAAATATATAATGTTATAATTATATTTAAAATACAGTCATATATATAAATAATAATTTAGAACAATATTTTATTCTTTGCTTCTGGAGGCTCAACTTCAAGAAACATCTTACTGAAATTGCTTCATTGATTGAAATAAAATATTGTTGAGTCAGGAAGGATAAAGGTATCATTTTCTCCCTATTGAATACAATAGGAAGGAGGGTCCAGAAACCTAAAGCACTAGATTAAGGGTACATCAGCAACTTAAAAACAGAAGTTAAGGGGGACTGGAGCGATAGCACAGTGGGTAGGATATTTGCCTTGCACACGGCCAACCCGGGTTCAGTTCCCAGCATTGTATATGGTCTCCCTGAGCACCACCAGGAGTAATTCCTGAGTGTAATCCAGGAGTAACCCCTGTGCATCGCCGGGTGTGACCGGATGTGACCCCCCCAAAAAAAAAGACAGAAGTTAAGCAATTGAAATGAATTCTTGGGCCTATGGCACATTCTAATTGCCATGCCATGGTGGGTATTTCTTAGTTTTCTTATATCATAGTAAATTCACCCTTAATATAGGTAGTGTCTTTTATTTTATTTTATTTTATTTATTGAATCACTGTGGGAAAGGTTACAAAACTTTCAGGTTTAGGTCTCAGTCATGCAAATATAAAACACATTTCCCTTTACCAATACTTATTTTTTACCATGAAGAACCCCAATAAAACCCCACCCCCTACCCCTCCCCGTCCCTGTGAGGCAGATGAATTCTAGTTAACACTCTATCTGCTTTGATTAGATTCATTGTTTCAATAAAAGATTCACCACTATTATTTAGAGTTTACCCCCCCCCTCCAAATCAGACATGCTGAAAAAGCATTGTGAAGTGATTTGCTTTCTACAGTTGGGTTCAAGAATTAAATGTTGGTTTTGGATTTCTGTTATTTTACCTATTGACCCTGGAAGTATTTCTACTGAAAGTCAGATAGTTAAGAAATTGGTTTCTGTGTTCTGGAGTCGTGGCCGTGCTGGAGAGCCGCTCGTGGGGGGCAACTGGTGGCCTCGGTAGGGTGTGAAGGGCGGACCGAAACGCCCCCCTTCCCATGAGGTTTTAGTCGCACCCACACTCCCGGCTCATACCTGCTGTCCACAAGGCTCCCATGTGGCCGCCATCTTTCTTTCCAGAGAGGAGAGGGCAAATGGGGCAACACCCTTTCCCCTCCGGCAGACTTGATGGCCTGGATTAACGCATAGTCCGTTCACTTTTCTGCTCCAAGCTGCCGGGTTTTGCATTAAGTCCTTGTGCTTCTGGGGCCGTGGCTGTGCTGGAGAGCCGCTCGTGGGGGGCAACTGTTGACCTCGGTAGGGCGTGAAGGACGGACCGGAACGCCCCCCGACCCATGAGGTTTTAGTCGTCCCCACGCCCCCGGCTCATACCTGCTGTCCACAAGGCTCCCATGTGGCCGCCATCTTTCTTTCCAGAGGGAGGAGGGCGGAAGGGAGCAACACCCTTTCCCCTCCGGACAGACATGATGGCCTGGATTAACGCATAGTCGGTTCACTTTTCTGCTCCAAGCTTCCGGGTTCTGCATTAAGTCCTTGTGCTTCTGGGGCTGTGGCCGTGCTGGGGAGCTGCTCGTGGGGGGCAACTGTTGACCTCGGTAGGGCGTGAAGGACGGACCGGAATGACCCCCTTCCCATGAGGTTTTAGTCGCCCCCACACCCCCGGCTCATACCTGCTGTCCACAAGGCTCCCATGCAGTCGCCATCCTTCTTTCCAGAGAAGAGAGGGCGAATGGGGCAACACCCTTTCCCCTCTGGGCAGAAATGATGGCCTGGATTAACGCATAGTCCGTTCACTTTTCTGCTCCAAGCTGCTGGGTTCTGCATTAAGTCCTTGTGTTTCTGGGGCTGTGGCCGTGCTCCAAACTTAACTCTGATTTTCAGGGAGAAAGATTGGGTGGTTTACTTCCCATTGATCACTTTGTATATAGAGAGATGTCGCGCGGCCGCTTATGCGGCTGCGCGGTTTTGAGAAAAAGTCCTAGTTCCCGCATACTCGAGCTGTGTTTGTAGAGGCTTCTGGTCACCGGGGTTCCATCTGGGGGAGGCGGGATGCGGCACCTACCCCATCTGGGACTTGCCGGTGATCTCGGCTCTTTTTGGAACCTGTTTTTTTTTTTTTTCCCTCCAGGATCTGTGGTTCCCGCACCCTCCATGTGGTCCTTCTCTTAGGCTGAATGGTAGTGTCTTTTTGGTAGACATATATGGTAGTTTTGGTTATCCCAATATTACTATTATCATTATTATTAGCTTTTTTTTTGGTCATGCCCGGTGATGCTCAGGGGTTACTCCTGGATCTATATCAGGAATTATTCCTGGTGGTACTCAGTGGACCACATGGGATGTTTGGATATAACCCAGGTTGGCTGCGTGAAAAGCAAATACCCTCCCTGCTGGGCCTATCACTCTGGCCCTTTCCAAATATTACTAATAATTTAAATAATAGGTACTTTGCAAAGTTTAAAGTGTTCTTTAAATAATAAGCAATATTATATGTTATCTTTGGTTGTACTAGACCATGCTCCCTCTCTTACAAAGAGAGCAAACATTCATTTAGAATTACTAGAGCTCAGCAAATTACCAAGAATAAAAAAATTGACTGTTTCATGTACATGGTACATACAGACTGTCAACACTTCACAAGTAAGTAAACTTCAGTGTTAAGATTAGCTCTCCAACACAAAAAAGTCAACAAGAGATGGATGTCCTTTTGCCATGTGCACGAAGTGATCTTCTTTTGTGGCAATATACAAGTCTGGATAGGCAACTGATTTGAAGCAACTTGTACTACCATAATTTTCCATGATGAAGAGGATGTTGGTTTCTTCTCTGATCGTTTTGGGTGTCTCACGAAACTCCTATGAAAAAAACAGAGATCAATTAGAGATAAGAAGGTGCTAGAAAAAAATATCTCATCTCAATCCATTGACATTTGGCCCTCATGAAGCCATAGCACCTCAGGACTATAGCCATGTAATATGATGATAGAAATTCTTCATTCACTTGTTCATGCAGTGAGCATTTATTAATTGGTTAACTTGTCAAGCAATTTTTATATGCTTATGGCTTAATCTTTTTGAGTAGGTTGATTCCCTTAGTTATTTGGAGAGAAATTCAACTTATTCACAAAAGCTGCCAATGACACTGATATCTTTCTGTATCCTGGCAAATACAGGATTGTCTTTTTTCTACCTTCAGCATAGACCTTAAGCATTTTCACACCATACATGAACACAAATGATTCTAGGTCTTTTATCTCTTAATCTTATTTGAAAAAGCAATTTGTCATTTCACATTTATATCACCTTCGTTGGGTTGGAGAGATAGTATACAGGTAAGGTACTTGACCTTATACAAGCCAATCAAGGTTCCACATCCAGTACCACATACAGTCCTTCAAGCACAACCAGGAGTGATCCTGAGCAGAGGCAGGACAAAGCTCTGAGTACAGTTTGGTATAACCCCAAAACAACAGAAAAAGTGTGTCTCCATATTTAATAAGCAATTGAAAATTAAAGCAAAACAAAACACCACACACACACATACACACACACACACAATTTTCTAGCTGTATAAGCGAGATGCTGCCTCAACTGACACATTGCCTGAATCCTTTTTTAGATTTTTGACAACCATCATCCCTTTTGACGGAGCTCTTCTTTTGAGTATGAACAGAATCTGTATCTTCATGGAAAAATAAAATTCCACTTCTAACTTAAGATGCAAAGAAAATAAAGTAACTAAATGTTCCATTGAGGTTTCTTTGGGGTTTTCAGTTCAAGGATTTTTTACCCCCTAAATTTATTTCTCGCCTATTTGTCCATCTAAGTAAATCGATTTTCTTTTCTTCCTCCTAATTTTCCTTTGTGTCTATGGTGCCAGAAATGGAACCCAGGGCTTCATACATGCAAGACATGAGCTCTACTGCCCAGCACTTCCCCTGGCTCCCCACGTTGGGTCTTATCTCCAAAGTATAACAGATTCTGTGTGCTTCTCACCCTCCCTACCCCATGACCATTGTTAAAATGACTTAATTGGGATTTCCACTTTCTTTTTGTCCTTTCTTCTGAAAAGTAAGTGAAGCCAGGACACTCCCCTGTTTGAAATGCTGTAATTGTTTTTCAAGCGAGAAGATAATTTCATGATCTCAAATAAAATTTAAGTGCAAAGCTCTGCAGACACTATCCTTTGCTTATCATTCTTCCCCACAGTGTCCCAATTTCTGGAGTGTTCCTTCTGATCTTTGAAGCTAACACTGTATCTCTTAAAGTTCCTCAGAGTTCTGGGTGTCCTTAGAGCTCCCTGTTTAGAGATTTTTACCCCTTTCCCTCTCCTGGTATGCTCCCTACTGTCAGCAGTTCCAGGATTACAGGGAGCTCTGTCATTGGCACTCTAATACCTTTCATCTCTTCTCTCTCTCTCTCTCTCTCTCTCTCTCTCTCTCTCTCTCTCTCTCTGTACCCTTTTCATTTTCTTGGTAACTTCTCTGCCTTCTCCTTCCTTCTTCATGTTTTATTTGTCTATTACCCATCAGAAGGGCTGGAGCGATAGCACAGCAGGTAGCATTTGCCTTGCATGTGGCCGACCCGAGTGTGATTCCTCCACTCCTCTCGGAGAGCGTGGCAAGCTACCAAGAGTATCTCGCCCGCATGGCAAAGCCTGGCAAGCTACCCATGACATATTTGATATGCCAAAAACAGTAACAACAAGTCTCACAATTTGTTGTGAGATATTACTGGTGCCTGCTTGAGCAAATCAATGAACAATGGGAGGACAGGCTATAGTGCCTCCCATCAGAAAACTAAATTCTACAGGCTTGTAATTTTTGCTCACCACTCTCTACATAGCTGTTCTCATTATGCTTAAAAAAAAAAAAAAGAAGGTGTTTAACAGGTGACACCTGCAAAATAAACTAATTAACCGAAGCTATTGTCTGTTAGACATCACTTTTATCTCACTTGATCCAGATAGACAAATACATATGCCCACATAAACCATGATTGGGGGTGGGGGCAACATACATTTTTCAGTGCGAGTCACCTAATCAGAAGAGAAAGCATCTAGGGTTGTAGTGGGCAATATGGGTGCTTGATTCTTTGAGTGTCATAGTGGTAAACTGAATTGAAGGAAACTGAAACTGAATTGAAGGAAAATGCTGGTGAGAAAGAGGCATTTGAATTAGATGGCCAGGAGTAGACTCTTGGCTATCAGCTTTTAGTTTTGTGCTCATAGGCAGCCAGTTGATTTCTCTGATCTTACATTATTTAAGTTCCTTAGAGGCAAATTCCACTGTACTACTGTAAAGTGGGCTGATAGGAGACATCATAAAGATCAAAGAGTGACAGAATAAAGGGGTACCATAGAATGAGAAAGGAATAGAATCAGGCAGGGAAAGGAAAAATAAGGAAGAAAGCAATTTACCTCTGATCCACTCTTCCATCTCCTCTACACTCTTTCAGATGCAGCCTCCAATTGCTACTGTAAATAGGTGAGAGAAAGACTGGGGATAGGTGGGGATTGCAGGAAGAGAAGAGTTCTGTGCTACCTTTTTACAAATGTATGATATAAATGAAGGAAAATTGGAGAAGCTGGAGACTGAGGATAACTGACCTTTAGCAACACAGGTTCATCTTCATTTTGGGCACTTACAAATAACTGAGTTTTGGAGATTCTTAATGTCACAGGTATTTCAGAATCATCGTCTGCTATATATGTGCCCAAGTCAAATTTCACTGGCAAAAAGAGAAAGCAAGACAAAAGTAAATTAATTGTATTTGTATAAAATCAAGAGTTTGTGTGTGACCATATGTGTATGAGGGCACACCTGTGTGTGTGCGTGTGTGTGTGTGTGTGTGTGTGTGTGTGTGTGTGAAGTCTCCAACTATGGTGTCAGTACCAGAAATGAATTTTATTCATCTTGGTATTTCTACAATGTCAGCTATATCACTAGGTAGGTTAAATATTTTAGAACTTTCTACATTGAATAAGTGATTGGGAGTTGAGTATTTTGTTCAATCTCTTGTAATTAATGGTACAAGACCCTGCAATTTGTGAGGTCATGCGTTCATAGTGAATCTATAGTGGAGGAGTTTGGGGAAGATGATATACTCGTGTGTTACTAGTGATAGTGAAAAGTAGCTGCTTTCCCTGAGAATAATGCTCAAAAGAGCTATGAAATTATGCCTAGGAACCCATAACTTTCACTTGTGGGATATGTTCCCCCCTAATAATCTCATATACACAAAGATAACTTTAAGCAAGATATCAACACAGGAAACAGCATAACAGCATGATTAAGTAGTCAAGTGCCATAAAAAATGTAAATACGTATATAATGTAATGTAGGAAAATTGAGATAATATTAAGCAGGAAAATAGAACATGGACTAATTTTTAATTGTCAGAAAATGTTAGCTATGTCCAAGGAAGAACCATTTATTACAAAGTTTCTATTTTGGATCTCTGAAAACCATTTGGATCTCTGAAAACCATTTTGTGAACTGGTGACATGTCTTGAAGCTAAAATATGTAACCAAATATTTTGGTGGGGCATAAGAATTTTGAGGGGGCATCGCATTTTGTCTTTTGGAACATATTTGCACTGAATGTTTTGCTTCACAATCCCAAGATAAATAAATTCTATCATGTTGAATGTCTTAATGGCTCCTGCCAAAATAGAACAATCTTCACACTGTTTCCTATATGAACACTTTTTTGTAAGCATGTTCAGCAGTTCTTCATAATAGACAATACGAAATATTTTATTTTGGTTGTGTTTTGGGACAAGGTTTGGGGCTTCGGTGGATACATCCCGAATTTGGTGGTGGGAAGGTGTAATGGTGGTAGGGTTGGTGTTTGAATATTAAATGTAATAAAATACTGTGAGCTAACTTATAAAATAAAACAATTAAAAATAAATAAATAAATTCTATCATGTTATTATATTAAAGATAATGATCAGCAGGTCTTCTAATAGAGTGATTGTTCCTCATGGCTTCTGGATAAATTTGGGTAAGTCATTTAATATTTCTGACTCCATTTCCTCATATTTAAAATTGAGGATTAAGACTATCTGTAGAGCCAAATGAGATAGTGGGTCAGAAAGCTTTTTTTAAAAAAAATTATTTATTTATTTATTTTTTGCTTTTTGGGTCACACTCGGCGATGCGCAGGGGTTACTCCTGGCTCTGTGCTCAGGAATTATCCCTGGTGGCACTCAGGGGACCATATGGGATGCTGGGAATTGAACCCGGGTCGGCCGCGTGCAAGGTAAATGCCCTACCCGCTGTGCTATTGCTCCAGCCCCGAGAAAGCTTTATATTGTAGTTATGTTCCCCCAAATAGGAAACTTTTTCTTGTGGAACTTCCAACTTTGGTGAAGCTCCTGGCTTTACCATTTGTTGAGGTCATGTGCTTCATCTTATTATAGAAGCACTGTATAAATCTAGGAACCTAGAGAAGTTTATTTCTTGGTAGCAGAAATCTTGGAAAGACTCAAGATGTAAAAGGAAATATGACAGAGTTGTCCAAATACCTTCAGCATTCACATCCTGTATCGCAGTAGCATGGAGGTATTTGTTTTCTTGAACGATACTTTGTTTGAGGATATCCTTTAGGGTGAATTGGCCTTTGTTTGTTATAAAGTTGTATTTCACATTGCTCCTCAAGTTGTAAGGGACAGACCTGGGCTTGATTTCTAAAATAAAATAGTCACAAGTTCAGGTTAGTGTCTAGGTACAAACATAGGTGATAGATCTGCTCTAACACAAACACAGAAAGTAGACATAAGGAGATATTGAGAAATTCAAACGTAAAATTTTTGTAACTGAATCTCAACGTGATTCAATAAAAAAAAAAGAGACATTGCAAGCATTCCAATCTTTGGGAATGAGAGAAATTGGTAGACAAGAGATATTACCCAGTCAGTGGTAGAACTGGTTTTAGGATTATTACTGGTGTCACTTATTTATTTTTAAAGTACATTCTGTAAGTAGCTTTTAAATGAGGCTATTTGAAAAAATTTATTATTTTAGGTTGTTTGGAGGTTTCCAAGTCACTCAAAAGACACCTAATATTCCTCATCTATAACTCAAATGTGTTCTTAGAAAAAGATGAATATAATTAAGAACTATATATGGGTCCTTAATGATAGTACAGTGTATAAGACACTTGTTTTGAATGGAACTGACCCAGGTTTTATCCCTAGTACCACATATAGTCCCCCTTCTATGTATTACATTAAGGGGGGAAAACTGACACCCTAAAATGTTCTTAAAAAATTACTAAGAGAAAAAATCTGAATAAAGACATCGTATATTCTGTGATCCTAATAATGTTAAACATATCAGTTCATATGTGTGAATGTAGAAAGATTTTAGGGAAGGTACCATAGTGCTGGTGGTGGTAAAGAGATTTTTTTCTTTTCTTTAGTATATTTAGTTGTATTTTCAAATTTTTTAGGTGAATTAATATTGAGCCATCCTCTTAAACATGTTTGGTTTACAAATTCCTGATAACAGATGAATGGATTAAAAAATTGTAATCTTAAAAAAAATTGTAATCTGGGCTGGAGCAATGGTAAGGCTGGTAGGGCTGGTTTATCACCAGCTGTGACCCCAAAAGCAAAATTAACTAACTAACTAACTAAATAAATAAATAAAATTGTAATCTGTATATGCAACAGACTACCACTCAGCTATGAGAAAAGATGAGGTCTTGTATTTCCCTATAACTTGGATGGAATCAGAGGATGTCCTATTAAGCAAGTCAGAAGAAAGACAAATACTGGGTGATCTCAGTAAATAAAGAAAACAAAGGAATAGGGGCTAGAGCAATAGCACAGCGGGTAGGGCATTTGTCTTGCATGCGGCGGACCTGTGTGTGATTCCCAGCATCCCACATGGTCCCCCAAGCACCGCCATGAGTGATTTGTGAGTGCAAAGCCAGGAGTAACCCCTGAGCATTGGCTGGGTGTGACTCAAAAAGAAAAAAAAAAGAAAACAAAGGAATAAACAATAGTTAATAAAAAAAAATACCAAGATTATGCCAACAAAACTGAATTTACCAACTGGGCAGGAAGTGGGAAAGAGAAAGGATCCTTAGATTGTTGGTGGAGGGATATTGACACTCTATGGTGGGTATGACACAGTAACATGCCTAAACCAGTAATATAATTATTATGAACCACGTTATTCAATGAAAACACCACTTTGACATTAAAAAAAAAACTGCATTGAGGGCCTAGGAATGTGATTTCATAAAGGAGCATCAGTCTTCTATGTGTGAGGTCACAGGCCTGATCCCTAGCGCAGACCCACCTTTCCGACTGTGATCTGCAGGACCTCAACATTTATGGAACCCTTTCACCCCACCCAGCTTGTACAAACCCTGCAACTGAGTGTGCACCCCTGTGTGTTACAACAGCACCGAAGTGTGTACCCCTATACAATGCAATAACAGCAATACTACCATCAAAGGGGAGAGATAAAGGAATGTGGAACAGTAATAAAAAAACAACAATGACAACTTTTGGTTTTTTGATTTTGGGGCCCCACCTAGTGGTGTGGTGCTCAGAAGCTACCCAGCAAGTTTTTCAGGGGACTAACTAGATATGATACCTGTATGGAACCTGGGCTTCCATATGAAAAGTATATACACTAACCATTTGAGCTTTCTCCAGTCCAATGTTAGCCTTCTTAAAAAATATACATGTATTATATATAAATATATATTAATTTCTTCAGGTTAATATTATGTAGGGTTCTTACAATAGAGAAAATATACCTCAAATAAACTAGTGGTAATGGTAGTTGACAGTATTAAAAGGGAAGGAGACAGAGAGAGAGAGAGAGAGAAAGAGAGAGAGAGAGAGAGAGAGTTCAATAGGCTGTAGGCATGTTTTGTCTGCAAAAGGCTCCCAGTTTGATCCCTATAACTGAGCACTGCAGGGACTGATCCTAAGAACAGAGCCCGGAGTACCACTCCCCAATTCTAGTCACAATTGGGTATGGCTCTAAAACAGACAGATAAACAAACAAAAAGAACAAAGAGCAAAAGCAAAACCAAAAAGATAACAGCAACAACAACATAATGCGTCAATCATTATTCTAGCCAAATGTTTGTGAAAGGGTGTTGCCCCATTCGCCCTCTCCTCTCTGGAAAGAAAGATGGCGGCCACATGGGAGCCTTGTGGACAGCAGGTATGAGCCGGGAGTGTGGGGGCGACTAAAACCTCATGGGAAGGGGGGCGTTCCGGTCCGTCCTTCACGCCCTACCGAGGTCACAAGTCGCCCCCCGCGAGCGGCTCTCCAGCACGGCCATGGCCCCAGAAACACAAGGACTTAATGCAGAACCCAGCAGCTTGGAGCAGAAAAGTGAAAGGACTATGCGTTAATCCAGGCAATCATTTCTGCCCAGAGGGGAAAGGGTGTTGCTCCCTTCCGCCCTCCTCCCTCTGGAAAGAAAGATGGCGGCCACATGGGTGCCTTGTGGACAGCAGGTATGAGCCGGGGGGTGTGGGGGCGACTAAAACCTCATGGGAAGGGGGGCGTTCCGGTCCGTCCTTCACGCCCTACCGAGGTCACCAGTCACCCCCCACGAGCGGCTCTCCAGCACAGCCACGGCCCCAGAAGCACAAGGACTTAATGCAGAACCCAGCAGCTTGGAGCAGAAAAGTGAACGGACTATGCGTTGACCCAGGCCATCAAGTCTGCCCAGAGGGGAAAGGGTGTTGCCCCATTCGCCCTCTCCTCTCTGGAAAGAAAGATGGCGGCCATATGGGAGCCTTGTGGACAGCAGGTATGAGCCGGGAGTGTGGGGGCGACTAAAACCTCATGGGAAGGGGGGCGTTCCGGTCCGTCCTTCACGCCCTACCGAGGTCACCAGTTGCCCCCCACGAGCGGCTCTCCAGCACAGCCACGGCCCCAGAAGCACAAGGACTTAATGCAGAACCCAGCAGCTTGGAGCAGAAAAGTGAACGGACTATGCGTTGACCCAGGCCATCAAGTCTGCCGGAGGGGAAAGGGTGTTGCCCCATTCGCCCTCTCCTCTCTGGAAAGAAAGATGGCGGCCACATGGGAGCCTTGTGGACAGCAGGTATGAGCCGGGGGAGTGGGGGTGACTAAAACCTCATGGGTCGGGGGGCGTTCCGGTCCGTCCTTCACGCCCTACCGAGGTCACAAGTCGCCCCCCGCGAGCGGCTCTCCAGCACGGCCATGGCCCCAGAAACACAAGGACTTAATGCAGAACCCAGCAGCTTGGAGCAGAAAAGTGAACGGACTATGCGTTGATCCAGCCCATCAAGTCTGCCGGAGGGGAAAGGGTGTTGCCCCATTCGCCCTCTCCTCTCTGGAAAGAAAGATGGCGGCCACATGGGAGCCTGTGGACAGCAGGTATGAGCCGGGAGTGTGGGAGCGACTAAAACCTCATGGGAAGGGGGGCGTTTCGGTCTGCCCTTCACGCCCTACCGAGGCCACCGGTTGCCCCCTGCGAGCGGCTCTCCAGCACGGCCACGACTCCAGAACACAGAAACCAGTTTCTTAACTATCTGACTTTCAGTAGAAATACTTCCAGGGTCAATAGGTAAAATAGCAGAAATCCAAAACCAACATTTAATTCTTTAACCCAGCTGTACAAAGCAAATCACTTCACAATGCTTTTTCAGCATGTCTGATTTGGGGGGGGGTAAACTCTAAATAATAGTGGTGAATCTTTTATTGAAACAATGAATCTAATCAAAGCAGATAGAGTGTTAACTAGAATTCATCTGCCTCACAGGGACGGGGAGGGGTGGGGGTGGGGTTTTATTGGGGTTCTTCATGGTAAAAAATAAGTATTGGTAAAGGGAAATGTGTTTGATATTTGCATTACTGAGACATAAACCTGAAAGCTTTGTAACCTTTCCCACAGTGATTCAATAAATAAATAAATAAATTTAAAAAAAAAAAAAAAGAAATAAAGTGTTTGCCAACTTAAAAAAAAAAAACAAATGTTTGTGAAAATAATTTACCTTATCTTCACAACAAGCAGGGACTCTGATTATTTCTATTTTCTGCACGTACAACACACAAAGTTCAAACAACTTGATGCATAAGTACATGTGCCTGTAAGTGGCTTTACATTAAGACTACATAACTGTGTCTGCAGAAAGGCTGAGTGGTAAGGCTTGCAGGGTATGGTCAGAAAATGAGTCCATGAACAAGTTTTCAAGACTCAGATCACCGCTGCCTTCCCCTTACTGGTGAAAAGACAAAAATTAATTTTTCTCTTCTATAGTTACTATAATGAATGACTGGTTGCTTGCCTTTTACTCTGATTCCAGATTCCTATGCCCCCTCCTCTCTGCCGTCTCCCTTTAATTAAAATGAAAAACAACAAGGAGTTTCTTATAGTTGATTCTTTACCTTCCTCTGGTACTGCATTGGAATTGGCAATGACTTTCAGGTCCTCGTCAGTGAGAAACTGATTAAAACTCAGCCTCCTCTTCTTCAGAATCTTCCCGTGGGTCTCCACCATCACCATGCTCTCCTTGAGAGTAAAGTTAGATGTCTTCGAGTTTTCTGAGGTACTCAAAGACATATATTTGTCCATGTGGTTTTCATGAAGTGGCCCATAGCTTGCATCATAGAAAGATTTCTGTGAGGAAGGAAAATAGGTACTGAGGTTGACTATAAAATGAGACCTCTTTATTTTTATGCTGAAGATATAGTGACAAGGATCTCCCTTTTTTGTTTGGGGTAACTCAAACTTCATCAGTGTTCCCCCACTTTTGTCCCCTCCTGAGTATCTGCCTGCCTTCAACCCCCTCCTATAACCTTGTACCCTTTTTCCTATTTTCGTCTCTCTCTCTCTGTCTCTCTCTCTCTTTCTCTCTCTTCCCCCTCACCCTCCCCTTCCTTCCTTCCTTCCTTCCTTCCTTCCTTCCTTCCTTCCTTCCTTCCTTCCTTCCCTCCCTCCCTCCCTCCCTCCCTCCCTCCCTCTTTCTTTCTTTCTTTCTTTCTTTCTTTCTTTCTTTCTTTCTTTCTTTCTTTCTTTCTTTCTTTCTTTCTCCCACATCCAGAGTTAGTCAGGGGTAACTCCTAGTTCTGCACCCAGTAATCACTCTTGCTAGGCTTGGGTATCACATGGGATGCAGGGGATGGAACCTGGGTCAGCTGGTGCAAGACAAACACCTTACCCACTGTAAGTTATCACTCTAGTCCCAACTTTCCTGTTTTCTGTCTTCTCCTTACCTGTTCCCACTCCCTCCCTTTCTTATTTCTCACCTTTAAAAATTCCTCTAGAAAAGTTCTCTCTCTCTCTCTCTCTCTCTCTCTCTCTCTCTCTCTCTCTCTCTCTCTCTCTCTCTCTCCCTCTATCTCATTTTTGAGTCACATCCAGAGGTGTTCAGGGCTTACTTCTGACTCTGTGCTCAGGGTTCTCTCCTAGACTTGGGGACTATAAGGGTGCTGAGAATTAAACCTGGACATGCAAGGCAAATTTCTTTGCTGCACTATCTCTCTCTCCAGCCAAGATTGTGATCTCTTGAGAAGTTATTGTCATTTATTTATAGACTCCAAAATAAAATGCACTGAAACAGGTTTACAAATTACCTTTGTGCATGACAGCTTTTTGTTTGATTCTCAAGAGTTGAAGCATCTAATGACAGTGCTCAAATAGTTCAGGAATACTCCTTCAAAAAAAGTTTTAAAGCCAATACAAGAAATACATAAGGGAAAACTCATACATGTCTATTTGTGGGCTCCTAGCAAAAGAAAACAGCTTGGTGAAGGCTGTTGATTTCTCACTTCATTTGGCTTACTTCCTCCTCCTCAGCTTCATTGGCTATGACCTCATGGGCTATTATTTTTTTGTGATGCAGAGGATTGAACTCAGGACATGCAAGGCATGTGTTCTACTATTGAGCCACATACCCTGGCTTCTGGAGAGCTATTTCTAACTCCTGATGCTGAGATCAGAGAGATTGAACATAACCTATCACTTCAGGATACAGATCCCTTATAAAGTCACCCAAAGGGACTGTTTCAGAAATGCATAGTTAACATTTGGAGAAAGTTTGCTCAAGGAAACTATAGTTCTTGGGATTTTAGGAAAGATCTGCTTCATTCTGAGGAAACTGATGGACATGAACAACATCAACCAGTAGTAGAGAGAGAAAGGTTGTCTCTTTTATAATGAGGAAATGTATGTTCCTGGATTTCTAGTGAAGGCAAACAAAAACACTGAAGACCAAAGTCAATTCTGTTCTTTCTGCACAAAAATAGCAATTCCATATGAATGATAGTCACTTTGATTACCTGAGTAAGAGAGACATGTTCCATTTCAGAGCTGAATTCTTCATTTTCACTGTCAAAACAAGATGATAAAGTGTAATTCTGTTTGATATATTACTAGTTGCTGATTAACTAATTTTAGTGATCACATTAGCTTTGGGTAATACACACACACACACACACACACACACACACACCACACAAAGAGCCATTACTGTTATTTTGTAAAATTAGGGATTTCTATATATACACATGTATGCAGTAATTTGTATTTCACAAATTTGAAATAATAATCATCAGAAAAGACCTTGTACTTTGGTCAACAAATTCAAGCATTGCAATTGAACTTCAGTGAAAAATGTTAAGCTCCTCAAGAAAAAAGTAGTACTTTTAATGTGTCTCACTTAAATTCTAACCAAATAGACCACATGTCAAACATTACTTACTATGTATTCTCTAAAACATTTATAATTTATATATATTATATAAATATATAAAGTATATATTTATATATAAATATGGGTTGGATATATATATATATTTATATATAAATAAGCACAGCAGGTAGGGCATTTGCCTTGCAAGTTACAGACCTGGGTTTGATTCCTCTGTCTGGTATCTCGCTGGCACAGCAGAGCCTGGCAAGCTCCTCACGGAGTATTCGATATGCCAAAGACAGTAACAACAGGTCTCACAATGGAGATGTTACTGGTGCCCAAGCGAGCAAATCGATGAACAACGGGAGGACAGTGCTACAGTGCAGTGCTATACATATATATATATGTATATATATATAGTATATATGTATACACTTTATCTTATTTGTTAATATCTCTTTCTATCTCAGTTCAACGTGTGGCTGTTCAGTTTCACTGAACCTACCCCCACTTGAGAGGTAGGAAAATACCCATTAAGAGTCTCTGAGTCTGGCGTCAAGCTAGTCATTGTAAATCCCAAGTAAATCCCAACTTTGGCTTTGATGCCCTGAAATGAAATCCCAAGAGACAGTATCTCGTTCTTACCTGTAACAGTTCTTCAGGTCTTCAAACAGGTCGGGGACTTTGGCCATGTCGCTTTCTGTCGGGAACAGAGAACCGCTGGTCGCGGTGTGGCTGCTCTCAGTCAAGTCTGCCAAATACCTGTAAGGGAACCACCTCCACTTGACGCTGGAGAACCGAGTCCTTGAGCCCCACACTCCGCATCTCCTCCGTTCTCCCTCTCCCTCCCTCCGAGATGCTGCCCTGCACCCTCCACCTCTGCTCTGCATCTTTGGTACCCAACCCAAAGATCACACGGGAGTCTGCATAAGTTAAACACAGTCTGCGTTGGCTGCAGGTGCAGGTGAGAGACAGACACTTCCAATTTGCTCCTCATCGACCTTGGCAGCGGAAAAACCCTCCCAGGGGAACCTGGCGGAACCCACCGTTCCTCTTTCTCCAACAGGAGGAAATTAAAAAAAAAAAGGAAAGAAAAAAAACAAACCGCAAACTACAATCCTCTTCTGCCCACTGACGATGATTCTAAGCCACAGACCGGAGCAGAGCCGGGAAGGAAGGAGCTAAGGCTCGAGAGGAGGCAGTCCGAGAGATAACCGCCAAGGAGAAAAACAAACAAAAAAAATATTTTAAAAGCCAGCGACGTGATAAGCCTAATACCTTTGCCGACTCAAGCTCCAATGAAATGACTCCCCCTCAGGCTGGGCCTTTTGTTCTTCTTCTCTGGAGTGGGCGGGGCCAGGATTTCGTCACGGGAATTTACGGGGAAGAGTGCTGTACAGGGACGATGGTTTATGTTCACCCCATCTTATACCAGCCCAAGGAATACCTGATAACACTATTCACAGGCAACAACAACACTATTCTAGGAAGTTCTGATCTGATTTATTCATCGATTCTTTGTTCGAAGCGATTAACCTACCCGGGGTTTTGGAAAAAGAGAAGAACTGGAATCTTGACGAATTTCCAAAAATACAGAAGGGAGGAGGAAGGGGGAAACTCCTCAAGTCAGAAATAACAGATGGCTAGAGGTCGATGGGGAATTTAGGAGCTGAAGTTTGGTTTTTGATGACTACATGTATTCTGTGTACCCAGGGCAGGGTATGAAATGTTGAAATACTTGGCAGCCCCTGACAGTAAGGAGTGATCTATCTTTTCTGGAGAAGGTTTACTTAAATAGGCATACATTTCTCTGCGGAGACAGCCTTCTGATTAGAACAGGGTAAAGAAGAGAAAAGTGATACTTGGCACTAAAAACTTCATGTTTCTATTTCCTGAATACTGTCAACTCCTTTCTTTGCTACAGCAGAGAGTTTTAGGAGAGAGCTCTCTGTCCTGGCTATGTTATGGCCAAGTAACCTTTTCCCAGATTCCAAAGAGATCTCATCCTCTCTCAGTTAAACCGAAAGTATGTGAGGACAGCTCAGGCTCAGGTGGATGTGAGCAAGAAACCAGGTACCAGACTGATGAGTGGAGATTTGAATGCTTGCTTACATCTGGCTCTGCATCACTGTTGCCCAGGTGTAATCAAAGACTTTCTCCGTTTCTGTAGACTTGCAAAGTTCAGGAATTATAGCACCAGTGTCTTAGCAGACATATGTTTCAGGTGTCCAGACTGGAGCTTCTCATGTAAACTTTAAAATAAAGGATATGAGTAAAAGAAGAGGGAGAAGAGGGCAAAGGGAGAAAGATGGAATGTTGTAGTAGGCTCTTAAAAAAGAAATATGGGGCTGGAGTGATAATACAGTGGGTAGGGCATTTGCCTTGAACGCAGCTGATCTAGGTTCAATCCCAGGCATCCCATATGGTCCCCAAGCACTGCCAGTAGTAATTCCTGAGTGCAGAGCCAGGAGTAACCCCTGAGCATTGCCGGGTGTGACCCAAAAATTAAAAAAAAAGCGAATATGCTTATAAGTGGGAATAAGGGAACTTGTGTGAGTTGGGTAAAGTAATTTTGCTCTGATTCTAACTGAAAATGACATTGATTAAATGAACATTCTAGTCTATCTTGGGTGTAAACTCTGCTCGAATGCTGATTCTATTGTCCATCCAGTTCCTCCTGGTCATAGATTTGGTGTTATAATAGTTATAAGCAAGAGTCTTATGACTGCTCCATAGATAAAGGCACTGTAAGTGTAGGATGAGATGGGAGAGTGAGGGAGTCTCAGGCCTCATCCTTGCATAAATTGTGAAGATAGTCAACTCTCTGTGGTTCTCCCTAAGGCAAACAGAAATGTTAATGCTAGTGCCCACTCTGCCTCCTGGACATCTTGTGAGGACTATTACTAAGAAACAATTGCAAAGCACATTATGAATGAGGGCTGCTATGGAGATGGAACTAAACAAAAATAATAACAGACTAATGATTAGGCTTTGTCACTTGGGAACTTGCTTAATCACCATTGTAGCACCTTAGTTCACTAAAGAAAATACAAAGAAAATACAGCTCTTATGAAAACATCCATTTGAAAACTTCAATAGCTAGAACATTTTCAGCCGAAGGGAGACATCCTTTGAAACTCTGAAGATAGTTTCTAGAAGAGTTATTAAGAGAAAAATCACTTTTTTCTCAGCATATTGTAATATTCCAGGAAGTTCTACCATCAAGTAGTAACATCCATCCTGCCCTGTGTCACTTGTCTCTAGTAGAGAATTTCTCAGGTGTGCTTGCTGGATTATCCAGGAGAATTTGAATTCTTTTCTACATAGTCAACTCAGGTTGGGATTCCAGTGAATTTGCTCCTTCAGTAGACCTTCTGGGAAACTTTTAAAAAGGAAGAACAACAAGTTTTATTTTAGGTGTCAACTTTTCTGTGAGTGATTTGAACCAATGTCTGCAGATAAGCAAAAAGGTTCTGAAGCCCACATACAGTCCATCTTCCTAGTGAAAACAAAAGAACATGCTCTTTCAGATGCTCTGAGGGTTTTTGGGGAACTGACCTGAGATGGATTTGAATGGATTTATGTATTTACCTCTTTGACTCTGAGGAGGCTTAAAAAGCCTTTTTTTTTTTTTTTGGTCATTTCCACCAAAATAATTCAGAAAAATATTTATTGTGTATTTATTCTTTGTCAGAGGTTTTGCCAGTTGTTAATAATTTTCTCTCATGACTCATAAAATTAGATACAAAAGAGATGATATATTTTGCTAAGTCAATGAATGTGGATTGTAAGCTCAGAGATTCTGGGTGCAAAGAATTATGATGATTTTTTTATTTGAAAACTGCTCTATAGTTCACAAAGTTCTCATTGATTTCTTACTCAACATACAGAGGTTAGTGTTATGATCTTTCTTTGCAATTGAGGGTTCCTGAAGAAATTAAGAAGTTAAGAAACTGATCCTTGGTTACTGAAGTGGTAGAGCTTGAACTAAAACTCAGGTTTCTAAGTTTCAAGTTCAGTTTTCACTTTTTGGGATCATAAATGTTGAGTCCCATGACCACATGCATCAAGTAACAGGGCTGAATAACTCACCTCTTATGTCTTGCCTATCATCTACACTTTGTCACTCTGTAATTCTAGAATTCTTTGTTTTAAAACATGACTTTTAAGAAGGAAAGATTGTAAATATCTCTTTTCTTCCTTTTCTCTTTTCCACCTTCCAATGAAATTTTCTTTAATTTCGTGGCCGGTATGAAAAGGATGAAGGTAATTGGTATAGTTGAGTGAACTATGGAGGTGAACTTTAGTCATGCACTTAATATTGTATCACAATGAAGGAAGCATTTGTGAATATCTTCAGAACCAACTTTTGTGAAAACTATTACTTGTAATTGCATTACAAGGATTGAATGAGGACATAAATAACTTTCTGGTGAATTGTAGGGAGAGGAAATTATTTCTTTTCAGTCGAATGCCTTTTTAGAGAAATAAAGTATGCACAAACCATCACTTGCTGATAAAAATGGAATTTTTGTCTAAATTCATGCCCTATTTAGTTATAACCTGTCTTTAAATCCCATGACAGTTAGTGGGAAGGAGGAAAGGATTTGTAACAATTTGCTATGTTACATGATGTCATTTAATCCCCTCATCAAACCAGTTGGGTGAGTCTTCACATCACGTTTTACAGTTGAGGAAGTCAAGCAATATTCCAAGATGTTAAACACTTAGTCCAAGATTGCATAGCTGCTTACCATGTTGCAAAAATGGGATTGAGATGCCAAGAACCATGAGTTTCTTTCACCACCACTGCCAATCTTTCTCTTGTTCTCTCCCTCCTCTTTTTTAGTGTGAGCTCTTCCTTTAATTTATATTTCTTTTCTTTGTCAATCTATAGAAGGACCTAGAATATGTTGGAGCAGGAAGCACCTCAGACTATCTTGATTAAACTTTTACTATGAAAGAGGAAAAAGACTCAGCAAGGAAATTGTATTGCCAAAGGTACATGGAGAATTCCTATGAGAGTGGGAACAAATAAATGGAAACTTTCCTGATTTCTGGTTCATAACATTCTAATATCTAGTGAACCATTGACTCTTTAGTAAACAAAGGTAGAGTGAAGAAATAATCTCTTCCATGCTTCTCATTCATAAGTAAGAGTAAAAAGAATGAAACTTTGCTGGAGAGACAATACAGCAGGTAAGGAAGGCACTTGCCTTGTATGTGGACTACCTCAGCTTGATCCCCTGTACCGCTTATGGTTCCTTGAACCTAGTCAGGAATAAAGCCTGAGCACTGCTGAGTGCAGAACTAGGAATATAACCTGAGCACTGCTGGGTGTAGCCTCCAAACAAACAAACAAACAAAACAAAACAAAACAAGAGGATGAAATCTCATTCAAAAAGCAAAACAAACATTGAATTCTAGCCTCCTGGAAGTTGACAGTGAAATTTATTTAAAAATCTCCTAAGTGAGTAGCTAAGTACAAGCAGAAGTAAGTGCATCAGCTGAGATGGCCTTAGACAGAGACTGGGGAGAGAAGAGGAAAAATTGTCAGCTGCTGGACAGGGGTGGAAGGCAAATAAGGAAAATAGACCATTGAGGTGGAAGCCATAGGGTTGAGAGTAAGAGATGGTGAGTAACATGGAGTAACTTCCTACACAGCTCGCAAAAATCTTCATTTAATAGTGATTACTTCTCTTCCTTAGCTTATTTGTTCCCTAATTTATGTGCTTTTTTTTTTTTCATTCTAAATATCTTTCTCTTTTCTCTCAAGATGGTGATTAATGGGCTGTCCTTTGTTTCCTTTTGGCTATATGCATTTCTCCCCAGTCAAAGAAGCACTTAGTGACTTTTTTCGTTTGTTTGGGGGCCACACCCAGTCGTGTTCAGTGGTTACTCCTGACTGTGCTTGGTTCTTAGGGTTTGCTCTAGTGGTGCTGGGGAACCAGGTGGTGGTGAAATGGAATCTAGGCTTCCAGCATCCCTGGCCCTAGACTCAGAGCTCTCATCTCAGCTATTGCTTTTGGGCAACAGCCCTGTCCGTACCTGTCTCTCACTTTTCTTCTTACTAGTTCATTGTCATTGTTTAATCAGAAGTGCATGCTTAAAAAATTCCCTTTCATTTTTGAGTCATTTTCCTCATTGAAGTCATAGTTATTTCTGGTCCGGACTTGTTTCTCCATTAAATAAAAACCCAGAAAAGTTTGTGTTTTTAAATTCTAAGTGTTTGCGCTATTAAATATTGCTATGGTATTATAGAAATATGAAGAAGAAACATTCCACAAACCAT